AGAAAATATGGGAATCAGGAAATTATCTATAAACCAAACTGAACGATTGTTGTTCTCTACTTGAAAAATAACTTTAGATTTTAAAATGGAAAAATGTTCTATTTGTTCTGTTTTTTTTTATTTAAAAAGTAAATGTGTAACATGGATGCATAAAAACTCATTTTATTTCAGTGTTAAATTCTGTTTAAAGTAACTGTTTATTATAATAAAAAATGTCTCTGGACCTTTACTGGTTGAAGATTTTCATTATTCGGACCCGCTGGTTTTTAATTGGTCTTCGCTGCAGTAGAGGGAGACCTAGACGATACAGACATTATTAATCAGAGTTTTGTGATTATTGAAGATCAGAGAATCATTACTGTAAAACACTGTTTAGATGTTTCTAGGCTTATATTCTATGTCCAGGGTTCCAGAGTGGATGGAGCCTGTTTGGTCGCCCATGTGACCCAGTTGGTCAGTAGTGCAATTCAAAATAATCTGAGATCGCACCAATGCAACCAGCTGTTGAAAATAAAGAAGAAAGTTAAGATGAGCCTTAGTGGGGGACTCTATTTATTATCTATTTGTTTCTAAAATAAAGTGTTTTACTTCTGTGACGGTTTTCAGGTGTCAGCGGTGTATCAGAGCCGGCTGCGGATGGAGACAGAACCGCTGCTCCTGGGCCACTGATCCAGTCCAGAATGTAATAATGGCTCAGATCTGCATCTTAAACATCACATTTTTTAAATAAACCGCTTTTGTACTTTCTAACTCTTGAATTTATTAAACTGGACTAATAACAGCCTCACAGGATGATGAGATCTGTTCACCTCTTTCTTCCTGTAGGAAAGCATTTGTGAAAACATGGAGTTTAAGAAAAGCTTTTCTGTGAGTCAAATTTTTAGCTGATCCGTTTGCTCATTTATACACTTTGAATATGAGTTGTAGGTGTTGTGTAACAGCTGCTTTTTCCGTGTTCCCTTAGAACCCAGAGATCTCCTCCATTTCTCCCAGCGTTGTGTCTTTCTATGGCAGAAATCATGCTGTTCTGTCGGGTCATAACCTCAGAGATGTGACCAGAGTCAGGATTCAGGACCACATGGGCTGTGATCCAAAGGAGTGAGTCGTTTTATACTTTACTGCTGACAGAATGACGTTTTTCTTCTGAAATGTTTTTGGAAAAGTGACTTCCAGTGTTGTTTTTCTTTGGAAAACAAAGATTGCCTCCTTATATATCTACATTTAAAGTCTTGTAAAAAAACAAAGCCATCCAGTTGGTAGAGCTTACTCCCTCCTGGAGGATGCTAATGAGTGAAAGACAGCAGGCTGGAGAACTCACATTTCCTATGAAAGTGGGAAACAGGGGCTTCTTGGGTCCTCAAATGTTGTGTCTGCCCTGCAGCATTGGATGCACTGCAGCAGGGATACGGAAGTCATCAAAGAACTAATGGAAGTAGAGAATAGCAGCTCCTTGCTGATGAGAGAAGATAGGAGTTGGGGTCTAGATTAGAGATGTCCCGATCCAGGTTTTTGCACTTCCGATCCGATACCGATATTGTTTTTGGACT